ARRYYGTTKAGTGAAACATTTTATTTTCGCAACTTTATCATAACTCCCATACATTCCCTTATAAACCATACACAGGAACCTTGTTTGGGCTGCCTGTGGAATCCTCAGCTCTCGTTTGCCATCGTTTGTAATAGGATACCTATTAAAGCACAGGAATACCGTAGCAAAAGGTTTTGTTTCTCTAAGTCCGGGCCTGAGAGAGCTTGGGCTTCCTGTGGTTTTTATTTTATACATGATATCCGCTGACTTGGCGAGCGGCGCATGGCCGGAATAGTTGGCGATGATACATGGCATCACATACCCAGCCTTCATTAGCCATGTTCAGAACCGTTACGCGTAAAGACTCCGGAACAAATCAACCCTATCCAAATGACAAGTCAATCACAAAAGGTCTGTCGAAAAGGAAGGAAATCACAACTAGCATGTTTGTGAATTGTGAGCAAAATTGAAGACAAAATCAATATGAAGTGAGTGCGAACTTTCAAACTTTCCTGAAAATATAAAGAATACACAGCTTGCTTGGACAACGTCGGGCTAGAAGGGCTAAAAAATGTCTCATTTCGGCAAAACGTTTTTGTATTTCATTAAAATTTCTCGAAACTTGGTAACATTGAAGAGTTTATCAAATCTAACAAATCTGTCGTTTTATCTTTTTGAATTTCGATATTTTTGGCGGGGCAATGACGTCATCAATTTTAACGGAAAATCGAAATACTCCTCAATGGAAAATTCTAACTAGCGCATTTGAAAGAACTACACATGAGGAGTTCAAAAATGCAAAACTTGTTCATTTCTGATATGGGAACCAAAAGATTATTTTTTTCATGACAAGACCAACAGCATCGCGAGTTTTATTAAAACAGGGGTGCCGAACACATTTCGCTCGCTTTTTTTTCTATACGCCGTGTGTGAGACCTGAAACAACCATGCTCGCCTGCAGCAAATAATCGTCTCCCTAACCCTTTGGTCTGCTATATCTCTCCACCACCTCAATCAATGCTACAACCCCCTCCCCCTTTGAAAAAATCCTGGATCTGCTCCTGAATCAGGGGCTGTGTGGGCAAACGCTGCAAAAATCCAGTAATGTGTAATCTTGCACCGTGTGTCTGCAGGCTATGAATGAAGCCAAAAGAAGAACAGAAAACCAAATGTATCGTTTTTCAATTGGCAAATACCGCTTTGATCCCTGACTACGGATTCAATTGATTTTGCTTCATTTTTAAGAATAAATCATTCAATGAAAGGTCAGCCAGCTCATTTCTCGGTGCTGACTAAAAGGAACGTGGGCTCTGGGTACGGGATCGATATACGAGGCAGAACCTTTACAAATGAGTCTGTAGTCACGAAATACGCTGGCGGTATGCAATAAAAAGAGGACTATTGGCCTGAAGAGCCATAAGGCTGAGTATAATGCTGCCAGTATTTGCCGCCATCGATACCAATATCTTGCTATCAACGGCGGACATACTCCATGTGAGACTGCTTTCTTCACTGAGTCCTGACAAGACTATCGCTGCTTCTTTAATTGTTTTATGGCGTCCCACTTGGTCCAGTACTAGGCCCTACTATAGTTTTCTGTTCAGTGCAAAAGTTGTGACCTTGCGATGAAAACCCAGTAACCATTGTTTCAGTTTCGAGAAGATCAACCGGTTAAATGAAGTATTTAATGTAATGGAATCCTAACTCTTCAGTGCTCAGTATGATTTTGCTTTCTTCTGAACGTCAAAAACCTCGCTTGGATATTAATTCGAAAGTGATTTACATGCAGCGAGCTGAGTTACCAATATGAATTAGATTAATATGTGCAGCCATTTCAATGGCATCCGTGGACGGGCTAGTGATGATGCCATATATGGTTGGTAAATCAGTTTACACTACAGCCATAAAGTTCAATACGGAGAGCAATACGTCCATCATATTCCAAGGGTTTTATCTTGATGATGTCAGCTATAAACGGCTTAGTGAACGAGTTCTTTACAATACCTGTGAAGTCGGTGTTTCCCATAAAGATCTAAAAAGTTAAAATTAGAAAAATTAACAAAATTAGTACCGATTGTCGAATCTCATTTCTTTGTCAGTATAGGAAATTTTGTTTGTCGAAACTCTATCTAACAAAGAATCACACTGTCAGTAATGGCCTTCAAACGAATGTCCTGTTTTGTAATGATAACGACAGACTTATGACTTATCTACCAGTGGTCTAATCGGTTTAGTCCATTGTAAATTGCGAACGAATACTGAATAAATAGGTACGGGGTTTAATACACCATTTCGGCTTGGACGTAATGTTTTCCCATTTCAGACCACGTGTCATTCCCTAAAGTACTATTTCTTTGTTTAACGGTTGCACATAAGAAGACACATGAATATCGATACAACTCAAACAAAAACTCTTATTCTCAAGAGAAAACACTTGGTCTGAAATGGGAAAACATCGCTACCAATGGTAGAGGTTTATAGAACCCTTGCAGTACTTTGGAAGAAAAGGTTCCAATTTTCTCCAGTCCCCCAGATTGAGCTGTTGACATCACATGCAAGGGGTCTATAGTTTAAATAGGCTGAAGATTGGCGTTAGAGGGTAAAACATATACTTACCTTTAGTGTATTACCATCTTCAGAATAGCTCTGCCAATGCGAAGCCTCTGTCTTAAAATCAATAGCGTATTGAGTCACCCACCACCAGTTAACACCGTGTCCCTGAGTAGCAATTTGCGTGAACACCTTGGTTTGTGACACAAAGCTGACTTGCAGCCACTGTAGTTTGTCATCAGTGTTTGGTGTCCAAGATCCTGTGTTACAGTTAAGCCTGCTCATGTTGTTTGTACTCGCTGCAGCAGTAGTTGAGGACGTTATTTGTTCGTTCTGGATTACGCCATTTTCCATTCCGAGAGCGGATGGTTTACGAGCTGAAATGCAGAAATAGGGGATCAATTTTCTTATCATGGAACAGAAAATCTTGGTACTGTGTGTCTAAATTTGCGTTTCCGAACAGAGGTTTTTAGGTCTCTTCCTTAATTAGAGTTATTTTTTCTGCGGGAGAGTAAAGGGATTTCTATTGCCCTGCCATCTAACATGGCTGCTGGCACGTCATGATGCAAAATCTTTATATTGTCTTTTTTAGCGGAGACCCAAGGCGCATGACTGTACTTTGGACGCGATCTTGCGTTTTTTTCAGTTATATTATTTATATGTTTTGCTTGTGGCTTGTGGCTTTCAAATTTAAGTAGCTCTCTTTTAAGGAATACGGACAGCAATAGGTTGAGATAAATAAGCGATTATTTGCCCTTTACTTACTATCTGGTTGGCAGTTTGAAACTGGGGTTTTTAAACACAAGCAAATAGTTCGTGGAAGTTGTCCTGGCACAGGAACACATAGACCATCACAAGGAGAGGTCCTGTCATTACACGGGTTGGATTCATACTGTCGCACTAGACTGTCCATATACAAAGCACCTGTCCACGGAATAAAGTCCGCGGGAAACCATTTAACGGTCGTGTTATTCATTTGACAAGTAGCTGTCACGGTGAGGTAGTTGATGCTAAAGCAATCCGATTCTTTTTCACAGTCGATGGTGCAGCTCTCAAAACTTTTCCCTGTCATTGTTTTCGTCACGTGTCCCAGAAGAATGCGATTTCCAATAGACTGGACACTACGACAGTCATTCTGGTCTGCGGTACATCCTATCAGAATCATGCTCATCAAAACCATAAGTAATGCCTGGAACGCCATGGTATCTAATCAAAAGAACAAATGATAAGATAAACCACACCTTAAGCATAAGCACCACCTCATATATAAAGCTACATGCCCAGAACCAAAGTGTTCTTCAACATATATCGGGGAGACGGCTAGAAGAGGGACAAGAAATCTACTCTCTTTCAACACAGTGAAACCAACAACCACGAACATGTTGATCATGCAGGACGACTTCCAAGTACCTGCTGAAAATTATCCTTGGCAACAAAAACGAAAAATAGTTGACGCCATCCTAATTAAAGAACAAAAACCAGACTTAAACGAACAAGGACTATTAAATTGAACAATATCTATGTACGCATATTAGTCCCTAGGGTTTACAGTACTTCATTAATACGTATTAGTCCCTAGGGTTTACAGTACTTCATTAATACGTATTAGTCCCTAGGGTTTACA